TCCGCTGCCTTCCATACTTACACGGCCCTTAAGAATTGTCCCCTGGACGCTCCTCTTTGGGAACTGTGTCATCACTTCATCTCCAAAAGATCTGAAGACTATGACTAAAAATCCTAGATGCCAAACACGAGACAGCAACAAGCATAAGTAGGAACCTAACGGGTGAGTGATTAAGCCATAAATAACTGCTGAAAGCAACAACACCATAAGTACTGAAAATCTTCAAAAATCAGGCCAGGCTACCCATGAGTTAGGACACTAAGTGTCATATGCAGTGAATACCATTGTACAAGGACAGCACTCTGGAGTTACAGATAAACATCGAGAAGAACACTTTCCTCCCACGAGGCTGGAGAAGGGGAGACAAGCCTGGAGCGACTCCAGCCTTCCCCGGCTCTGTTCTCACCCTTTGCCAACCATTTCACCAAAGACTCAACAGCAACTGCCTTGGTATTATTGCGATATTGGTCAACAAACACAGAACACGGTTGTAACCAAAGACCCAGATAATTTTGTAAACATTAAGTATGATGACAAAACACTGAAATAAACCATATCTACTTTTTGTGAACTATAAATGAAGTATTGCCCTTGTCAAACTGTTTGAGATCAGTATCTCTTTTTTAAGAGATCCAATGGCAACACATCAGTCGTGACAAAATCCCTACGAAACTGGGATGTTGAAGAAAAGTATTTTTTTCTCAACCCTGAATTCTTCACACTGTAATATTACTAGCAGTATGGTAATCTCTGTAAATTAGGGGGGTGGAATCTGTTAATCCTCTCCATGATTGGAGACTGCACATTTTGGAAACTCGGGAACCTTTATTCTGAAATGAAGTTTGAATTTAACTTGTGGTCTATATCCATAGCATCTGATCATGAGAGACACTAATGTGCTTCTGATCTGCAGGTATTCAGCACTACTGAGAAGCTGTCCTCTCCTGCCTTAGCTGGGGTGGCTGGAGGGTGACACATCAGAGGGATGATGAGTGGCTTCCGCATATCGGCATCAAGAGTGAGTTACCAAAGGGCTTCCTTCTCAGACCACACTGAAGGAAACACACCACCAGGGCAGCCGGATCCTTCAACACAAGAACAACCTCCTGTTATACTTCAAAAAATATCTGTTATATGTGAAAAAATTCCCTGCACATCTTCTGCCTGGCACAGCAGGACTGCCCACATCACAAAGCGTGAAAACGCAACTTTTTCCCTCTCAGCCCTCACCAGGGTAAGTGGGGTAGCAGCAGAACTCTTTATAAATTGCTCTCCAATCTGCAGGGTACGGGGTACAGCAGGGAAGTGAGACATTGCCTCATGCCCCATGCTTGAGAACATATTGCTGGCCATGATTTGGCCTACAGGTCTTTACAGATTAACAGATGGTATCTAGAACATACCTGACAATAAAACGGGAGGGAATTCCAACCCCAGTTAATGAGTGACTGCCAAATGCTGCGCCCACTTGCAGCCAAACAGACCACAGCCCAGCTACAAGAGAAGGAGGGCAGAATCAGATGGGAGGTTCTTGCCAGTAACGAACAACACACTGTGTCTGAGAGCACCCTGTGTCTCCTGATGCACTTCATTGCAGATGAGGCCCATCACCACAAAGCCCCGAACGCCGGACCTCCCACGCTCAGACTGATGCGTGCTGGGGCCAAAACCAACAAGTTTCACTGCTGATGAGATAAGTAAGTGATTTCATACCATTAGTTCAGGGGGAAATCTATGACCCATGGTCTACAGTATGTGGCTCCTTACCTGGCTCTGTTTTAGAAAAGAATGTGCGCACCAGTGGGAAGAAGTGAAAACACTGCAACCACAAGCCAAGTGTGAGGATGAAATACTACAGTGTACAGTCTCAAAATTACCATATCTAGCACGCTGCCACAGAAAACTAATGAAGAACCAGGGCAGGAGTTCACACAAAATTGAAATAGGACAATTCTACTGCAAGACATTAGTTTCATCCTCCTTCACTAGGAGAGACACTCAAAGTATGGCTGGTCAGACAGAAAGTGGCCCAAGCTTCATCTTTTGCTGTGCTGCTTCATTCAGAGAGAACATTTTTGGTATGGTTCCATAGAGTGAACGTTCTCCATTTTCTTTGAACAAATTGTATTACACTTGTTTCTCATCAGATTACATAAATTAGTTGAAGAGGGAATGGATTCAATTACAGTCCAGATTCCAGACCTCTTAAGAACTGACTGCCTAACACATTCCTTTCATTTAATAAACTGGAACCAAATGAGGATTATATCATATAAATAATACTCCCTCGATAGGGCAATGCAATAAAATGGCAAAAATACTCAGAGGAACCACGTAGATCAAATACAAAAGCCTCTGATATTACCCACCGGATTTAAAGTATGAATATCACATAAACTTCATTGTTCAGTATTGTGAATTAGAATCTGATTCAGAGGGTACTTAGGACCAAGTTTAATATCTTCTGAGAGCCTCAGGCAGCTAAGGAAAAAATGTGCTGCAGCAAAGTATGGATTTCCATATTTAAATGATAATTTGATAGCTCTGCACAAGATACCAACCTGTCCTGCAAAACCCAAGATTTGCAGATCTCCCAAGTGACTAAAAGTAAGTATGACCACGAGTAAGGTCTTTGCAAAGCTCCAGCGAGGCAGTTTCTCAGATGGACTTGTTCTTTAAGAAGGCAGTATTTTGGAACTACTGAAACTGATACGACATCGAGGAACAACCATTTTTGACAAAAATACCCAGCCTGACAAGTAGATATGCTGTCTATAGTCAGACATTTTTATAACTGCCTAAATGCGTAAGTATTCAGGGGAGAAAAATGCAATAAAAAGACTTAGATTTGGAGCTCAACAAGGGATTCAAAGCTGAAGGCAAAAAAAGGCAAAAAATTATACATATAGTCAAATTATCCCCACTCACAAGCAGCATTCTCGAGAGATTACTGAAGAATGGCTGAAGACCATTTTGATGACAGTCTATGTAATTACAACTTGTCTAATCTTAAAGTTTTAACCTGGCTTGCAACTACAAACACAGGATCCAGCAGGTGAAATTCAAATTTAAGACTCCAACCAAGAAACAGGATGTTTCTATCTACTCAATAAAAAGGTTTTCAGAGGACACAGTAAGTTCTCTGCCAACGAGAATCCTTAAATCAGTACTAGCCAAGCCTTTTTTCCTGGGCTTCTTCATAGCTGCCCTCCATCTGTCCAGTAACATTCTCAACATTGGCTGTGAGGGACGCGCTGGACACCCAACTGATGCAAAATGGGGTGCTCGACAGCTCCAGTGGACCACGGGGTATGTAAATGTGGTGAGACATTTTCTGTGATGTGACGGGCCTTTTACGAAAAGACAGTTTGTATACGTGATGCACCAAGAACCACATCATTTAACCATAAAGGGAAGGTTTTCCCTGTAGCCAGTGCATACATTCATACATATAAATAAATAAAACAAACTAGCCTTCCCAGCATTGCGTATGCTCTATCTCAACTTCTCTTTACCCTCAGCTGGAAAGTTCAAATGCAGTTTTGAATAGCTTACATTCTAGTTATAGGTAATGCTTTACCTACCCACACCCCCCTTTTTTTTCTTTAACAAAGAGGTTAAATGAAAAATCACCCGAAGCTATAATTCTACTACTGGAAGGAAGGAACACACTGAGCTCTCCATGAGGTTTGCAGTGTATCCTAGTTATGACACACGGGAATGAAAAAGAGGTTAAAGCATACATTAAATGAGACTTTTTGAACTGGTTACAACAGTAACCTTTCTTACTGGATATGACAACAAGGATTTAAAAAGGCTTACTTATGAGTCACTAATAAAATCCTGATATGTAGAAAGGACATAATATGCAAAGCAGACACAATGTTATGTTCACTCCTGTTCTTAACTCAATCATAAAACGGCAACTGTCTGTTCATCCCTGTGGCTTAAAAGCATAAAATCAGAATTTTTGCTTCCCACCTCAGCTAGTGCTGAGATTTCAGCCTCTGCCTCATTAGCGACATCTGCTGTCCCGTGAGCGAATGACACACAGCCCTCACCGGCCCCCGTGTCCCCTCCAGCAGCCATCCCTGCTCTCTGGCTCTGTTACACACACAACAGTTTGGCTGAACAGTATTTGCGGCGATTTGCATGAGGGAACACCACTCTTAGAAAATAGAGAAATGCATTAACTCCTCTGTACCGGACACCTTCTCACCAGGAGACATTAGCTGCCCATGGTGTTGCAGTTCGTTGTTGGCAGTTCTTACCTTTTCACGTGAGGGAAGAGGAGACTCCAGCCCACTGTAAGGTTCACCATCTCTTCCCCATGTCCAACAGCACCCACCTGCCGTGTCACAGACTGCTTCAGCGCTAAGGACTGTCCCCAGGCCCCACCTGGACTGCAAGCTTTGCTGCTCCCTGCCTCTTCAACTTGGCCTTCATCAACGCAAGTGCACAAAACATCTCTCATACATGTATCTCAGGCGCTCAGGGACAGCATGTATTTTAAGGAAAACATGTTCTTCAGTGCAAAAGCTCATTGACGATGTTTCTCATTAGTCACAGGTGACACACCATCTTATTTGCCACCAGAAGATGTCTGCAGGTGGCCTACTTTCAAAGCAAAGCATCCTTCCATCGACTCTGTGGACCTCTGGCAAAGCTGGAGATGTTGTGGCAATGACTGATTGCAGCTGTGTGGCCTGTGGCTCTTACTGATCAAAGCAGGTTGCTATTTACAGACTCCTCAGGGCAATGAGAGATGCAGAGACAGGTGATGGTTGTAAAGTCCTAGTTAAGTTTTATGCTCTGGACTAAATAAATTTGATAGGGACCTTTCTTAAAGCCCTTCTCCGCAACTAATTCTGATGAATCCAAGGTGTTTGCCTTTCAATGAAAAACACTTCCATAAGCTATCTTCCTACTCAAAAACCTTTAAATCTTTCTCTACATATTGCCTAAATGCAAATAAATAAAAACAAAGTCAAGATAAATACCTCAGATCAGAGTTCCGAGGGAAAAGCTTTTTCTTCCCGCTGAAGTAGGCCTCAAAGTCATCTGTTGTCAGCCTGTGTGCATAGTCAATGTACGCAGACACCTCCTGGCGACGAGAATTTCGGTCACGAATGAAGATTATGGACTGTAAAACACAAAGGTGGCCACAAATGAAGAACAGAAACACAGATATGTGCACAGATTTCCATATAACAACATATTTAGAGAGCATATAAACGTTTTCAACTTCACCTGGGCCATGCTTCAGTTAGAACTCAAGACACTTGAATTATGGCATTTTAGGGCATATTCTTAACACAAGCTTGGCAGCTTTACAGTGCAAATAAATATAAACTCAGTGTCACACAACATGTCCTCCCGTATTCCCCACGTCTCCTGCTGCCACTTCGGAAGGGTTTTCCCACAGGTCCCGGACCATGTCTGCCAGCCCCATGCACACAGTCCTAAAGCAGCCCAATGCCACTGGACACCTATTTTTAAGCAATAGTGGGTTTTTTTGGCCATTATATAACACTGCTGTCCATACATTAATTACTGGGCCAAAAAGGAGAATGTTATTTTATTTGGGATGCAGCTCTACAGCCAAAGCAAAACTTAATTTAACCTAATACTCGGATTTTTAGCTTTTCAGAAAGACGATGGACTAGAAACTGGTTACCATACACCCCTCTATTCTGTGCTACGCCCAGAGAACAGCGTAGAGTTCACCAGCCCTCTCTCTCGCAAGACAACCCTTGTATTATTTTATTCCTAACAGCTAATGAGTTCCAGAGCAAAAATCTGATAATTCAAATACAAGCAAACAAACAACAAAACAAAATCCATGCCTACAAATAAAGCTGACTCAAGCAGGGTGGCTACAAGGACAACACCTCCATGTGTGGGAACTGAATGGAAGGTGAGGGACACAGAGGATGGCGACATGCTGGTTCTGGCTGAGAGAGATGGCTTTCTGCCTTAGGGTTTAACACGTCTAAGAGCATATCTGTTGCTGCCAAGACACATGTCATGGGCACGGTGCTGATGAGATGGCTTTCTGTACCACTTGTTGCTGAGAAACGTTGTTTCCCATTTACTCTCTACTCCTTCTCTGCTCCTTTACCTTTTATTTGCTGTATTTTCCAAGTGAATAGAGAACAGGTTCGAAGAAGGCAATTCTTTTTCACACACTACCACAGCACACAAAGCAAAAAGAACGGGTAGGATGAGTGTCGACTTGTAAGACAGAAGGTTCTTGCATCCTGAGATTCACATAAGAAAAACTAAATGCTGAGTGTAGAGGCTATTTGGTAGGTGAGATAGAACAATATTTGTTAGCTGTACACGTTTGTTTTTACTCAGCTGATATCAAGTGATATTTCTTTTTTGAATGCAGGGGAAATGGAAGCCATACCACATGGAACCCTTTCAAAAAACATTTTTTATTTTAACAGCAGCACATTTCTAGAGTCTAACGGTTTATTTGGCAAGCCTTTGTTATACTTGGGACATGTTTCCTTTTCCAATTTCATATTTAATTCCACCAAAACACGTGTTACTCATTTTCCAATTTTGTACCATCAACATTGTCGACAGGAAGAGCCAGAGGAATCTCCTGCAATACATCTGACCATCCTGAAATACATCTCTCCTCCCCATCCCCTCCTGTGTCGAACAGCCAACCTGTGTGTCTGCAGAGCCAGGTAAGGACAGGCACCAGGCAATGAGAGCAGGATGACTGTCCCCAGCACACAAGAAGCTGCACCCACACTTAGACACAAGAGTAGGTGTACGCCATGCATCTGAAACAGGGATTCATCCTCCTTCAGAAAAAGCCAGTCTTAAATGAATGTCTCGTCTTGCCCAGTATGATCCAATCATTTAAAAAAGCTGGCAGACATTAAAGTGCTATTTGCAATGTTAATCAGAGGGCTACCTTTCAAGGCTCTGCTGATTATAAAATTCATCTCCTAAAAAACTGTTCATATATTACCAGTTATAAATCAGCACAGAACTACAGGCAAGCATAGAGACTGCCACTAAAATTGCTTTATGAACTCTAAGAGAGCACCAGAATATCTAAACAAAAATGTTGTATGTTAAAGGTACACTTTTGAGGCCTCCTCCTCAAAACTAAAAACCTTTGAACCTTCTCATGTCAGCACAATTTCTCTTCTTTTCTCATCTGTGATTCATTTCTAACCACTATAAGCATTCATTCATTAAAATATGAGTCAGCTTGAATTTCCTTAAGTTATTCTGAACTTTTTAATTGTGTCACACCTTTTTGCCCCTGAAAAGACTTGTACACTCTTTCCTCCCAAAATGATAAAGCACTTGACTGAAAAGCTACTGCAAGAGAGATTAAAAATCCATAAAACCCACAAACTGGAAAATCTCCTCCTAAAAGTCTCTTCAATACACTTCTGATTTGTCTTTAACACAACAAATCCTATCAAGCACAGACTTTGTGCTTTACATCCACCTCTGAGTTTTCAGGAACTCGCATGGCAAAAGGTGAAAAAGCTTTAATTTAAGATGGGGTTTGAAAGGTATGCTTCCTTATAGCTATGTAGGGCCTAACAACTGAACCTACTGACTTATAATTACAATCTAGAGCAAAGTGGAATAGAATAGAACAGTCCAGTGGGAAGGGACCTACAACGACCATCTAACAACATGGCGTTCCTTCCCCACTGCTCTGATCGAATGCTACAGGCCCGCAGCAGTGGGGTTTCACCAAGGACCATGGAGTTCTTGTAGTTTCCATGGAGTCAATACCAGCAGCATTGCTAGCATTGCTCTGCAGGGGTGTGAGCTTGCTAAAAGCCATGGAGCTGTGCCTAATTCTTCAGCCATAAAATTGGCCCACAAAAGCCAGCATATCCCTCACAGCAAACCACCAGCGGCACCGGTGCTTCTGAGAGCCCCACAGGGAACTCCTCTCTCTTGCTGGAGATGAAACCCATATTTTTCCAGTCAGGAAATGCATAGGAGGAGATGTTCCCTAGCTATGTGCAACAGGGACACAAACTGATGGATGCAGAAAGCCTTAGCTGTGTACAAGGACTGTGACTCACCCAAGAAACAAGCAATACAAGACTTCTTCTGAAGTTCAGACATGTCTCAAACACGTGGCCACTGCACTTGGAGTGAGGTCAGATGTTATCCTCCTTCCAATACTGATGTTGGAGGTGGCAGCGGGAGAGAGCTGCGTAAGGCCAGTGGTCCAAGGAGTGTTAGGAGGTGAGAGGACGGCTACTGGAAATGCTCTGAGAGCTGCCTCTTATCAGCTAGGGGTTCACCGAATTCACATCCCTCACATCCAAGTTCAAGGAGGTTACACAAAAAAAGCTATAACTCTTCACAGGTGGCACAAAGGGAGGTTTAAACCCACAGAGAAGTGAGATGTAGTATTTGTAGAGGATAAATACAAATCTCCATACATTTACATGTATTTATTTATTTGTTATATATTTGTATTTATATAAATATAAATCTGTCCATGGGGGAGAGGCTCAGGCAGTGGATAAAGATCAGCAAACCATCACTGGGAACAGAATAGGACCTTGCATTTCCCTGCTTATCTTTTTTGCTCCCATCTCCAGCCATATGTTCTTACAGCAGACTAGATGCCAATGCTCTGAACATTCTGAAACCATCTGCAGCTGCTGCTTCCTACAGACAAAAGCAGAACATTTATAAGGAGCTGCACTTGCCTATGCTAAATACAGGGGCACTTTCTTCAGGAGCGTTTGTGATCCTTGGAAAAGACTTAATACCAATCTGTCATACTTCAAACCAGACTAAAGAAACCCAACAAACCACTGTGAATAACCAATTCATCCAGACACGTATCGATCTTCTTAACTACATGGACTATTTGTACAGTTCTATTGCCATCACTGTTTGCCTTTTAATGTGCAGCCCTACCAGACATTGCAATAAGTGCATTTCTCCCACCCAGAGATCCTCAAAATCAAGTAAAATTTGCATTGGCTCCAGCCAGCCAAAAATCAGGTCCTACACTGTCAGTTAGAAACACTGGAAGTAGAACAGTTGGATGGGTACAAACCTTTCACTCTCCGGAAACTCTTGCCTTTCCTCTATCCTTAGAGCAGAACGTTCCTGCTCTGAAAGAAAAGATTTTAATACAGGGTTTTCTTTCAGCACCTCCTCAGCACAGTTTGTGGGCACATCTTACACACAAATTACAGCTGGCTTTTAACTGTGTCCAAGGGCTTTGCTGGACAGGGACCTACAAGATAGCAAACGAACTGGAGCGCACCATGATTCAGCTTTCTTGGAAATTATTGCAATGTAGATGTGTTCAAGTGCAGTGTAGCTGAGAAGAGAGAATATATGGGAATATAAAGAGACCAGCCCTGCTGTCTGGTGAAATAGTCTCGTAATGCGAGTCCTTTAATAGCATGCCAAACTGAAGGTAGATGACGGGAAAGTAAAGACAGACAATATTTAGGAGTCAATTACTAATTCACTGAGGAAGCTCTTTTCATGTGGACAATATCACAGGTGGGGACCCAAGGGAACGAGCACAATTAGGCTGAAAGGGACAGGCGTAAAATGCATTACCAGTTGAAATATATTTTTAATGAGTAGCAATTTATTTTTGTTGCATAGTGTTTGGCCTTATTTGCCACCTGCAGATCACATTACATCTAATAGAAATACCAGTGGGCAACAGTAGTCGGAGAAAAGACCTCACCCCTGTATCTTTAAACCAGATGTTATTACCATTTCTGCTTTGCAAGTAGGAATAAATTGCTGACCTATTCTTTTGTTTAGCTGGGAGTGAAAATAGCATAAAACAGGCTTACAGGTTGGGATTTACCTTCTGCACAATTTCATTTTGGATGAAAGGGGCGGGGTACAGCAGAAATATGTTGACTTTTAGGAGAGCAACTGAACCACCACTAAAGCAAGCCTAGAACATGCTTCTGCACACACTCCCCTATTTTCATCTGGGAATACTGTTCTCTTACTTATGCTAACTTTTGAAACATTTCTAAAAATTGTAATATGTCTGAAAGTACTTCAGTTTCCTTCTCCTATGCTCAAAAAAGCCAAGCGGGCTTTTGGAAAACAGGCATCTTTTACCTGTACAAAAGAAGAAAAACCAGGGAC